GTCTGAATGGTCTACTACTATCTGACCCACCTCGGACTTCTGAGATCTGAATGACTTAGGTCCTGCCGACGTACCGCCTTATAAGCTTCACTCCTAAAGCACTGTTGGACATGATTCATCATTATCATTATATCCCCCTTTCATCCTTAACATTTGTTTTTATGCCGATGCTCTCTTTCAGTATTTAGATCTATATTATACGGCTTGCTTTCTATGCGCTGGCATTCTAATCTCGTTCTAATGGTCACCATTCGTTGGCTGGTGTTCCTTATGATTATGTTTTAACAGACCTAACGGCCTGTTCACATTACTCCGAGGCTAACTGCCGTTTCGTTTAGCCACTTTCGTCCAAAAACTGCTTCTTTTATGATGCCGCTCATTACCTTATACTTAGCTATATTTGGCGACCTAGCTTCAGCTTGCTGACTAATCTGGTTTTGTCTGAACGGTCTCTTGTTTTCTGGCCTTTCGCGGAATTCTGAGATTTATCTGATCCAGCTGTAGCTGACGCACCGCTCTGTTACAATCACCATAATTACATCCCTAGGCAATATTCATCCTTATATTTATTAACAAGGATGAATCATCACCTGAAGGTCGGCGGCTTTTCCACTTCTCCTCAATAGAACCTGTTTTACCTACCCTTTCTTTCCTGCAGATGCCTTCTGTTGCATTCCCTCTTCATTCGACGCTAGCTTACTTGCGTCTGTCCTCTAAACTCTTACATTCCTACCGATTTACTACTGAGGCGACGCGTCCCTGTCGCTCTTTCTGAGTGATATTCTTTCCCAACTTGCACACCTCGTCCTCCTCTCTCTGGTTCCAACCGATTGAGCATATGCGCCTTAGGACCCCTCAAACTCTCTTTTCTTCATCTTCATTCTTATTTTGGAACAATCTTTAATTCTCCACTTATCCGTGTTCTGCTTGCTTCTCGTCGTACTTCACCACTTATGATACATATGTACATGCGATAGTTAAATAACAATTACATGTATATGGGTACAATACTTCAATCATCATCGAAATGGATCGACCACGTTCCAGACGCATTCCTTTCTACTGTCTTTGTGGCTGTTTCTGTTCGTTTCCTTTTTTCCCGAGTTCGTCACAGGTACGGCGACACGCACCCAAGGAGTTGTCCATCGTTGCGACAACAGTACAAGCTACACAGTTCCTTTATCTGGACATGAGCTAAAGATTAACAATCCTTTTACAACTTACTAACCGGACAAATCATTCGTTATCATGCACGGACACAAAATTTTGTGGCTTGAATGTTTGGTTTCAGTTTGCCTAACGCTCTCTTCCACATTACGTTTGCCTGGAGAACTACTTTTGACTTCGGAAGGCACATTCTCCTGCGATACAAAGGCAGAACAATTGGTCATTATGAGCTTTTCAATTCGCGTTGAACGCTCAATTGGCCGTGGATTCCTATATTTCTAATCACTATTACTACATACACCGGGGGATCTGCGATTCTTTCTTCGGAACCATATTCTATCCTCCAAGACTTCAACAACAATTCAACATATTTCAATGTATATCCCTCGGAGCCTTCACGTGGTTCTGCACAGGACCAACACCTCATATTCAAAAAGATAGGACTCAGGAACGCAATAGTCACCCGGCTAACGCATCAGCCGACAGAAAATGGGACGCGAATAACCGAGCAAGCAAACGTTTAACCAGAAACATAGCCAGTTACAACTTGCCATTCAATGATTGGCGGCAGTGTTTCAGGACGTGGTGGGTTTTCGCCTGGCAAGCGTTCCCTCTATAAAAAGCCACAAATGTCCGTTTAACCACACTGCAACGTAGCGAATGTGACTCGCCACCGAATAAAGTCACAGCCCATAACTTCACGCTGGCAAGTCAACAAGCGTCACCATTCTAGGTAGGTTTGTTACACTGGAACTTCTACATCTGCAAATACTGTCGTCACTTTGCTTTCTACGATATCACCGTTGACCTTTGCGTTACTTGTGCACGAAATCACTGTATTGTCATATCACTCTTGAGCGTGCCCTTTAATTATCTTCCAATGGATCATACAGGATTCTCAATCTATTATTAGCCGAGGTCCCGGTTTCACGACAGCCAAATTATTATTTCGCATTTTCAGCATTGTACAGTTCCAATCATGGACATATGAAAAATTTTCTACTGTCATTGTTACAGTTGCCATAAAATGTCTGTACAGTTGTACATTTCTGATCATGCCTCCATCGGCGTGCATCGCATAGTCGAGAATAAAATATTTATCTATTTATTTATTGTGTAATATCGGCTCATAGAGGAAAGTCACTTTATTAAGGTATGCATATTAACAGTGAGCAACTGCAGAAATAAAGATGTTAGGGATGTAATGGGAATCTAATAATAAGGATGAACCAGGACCAGCAATGTTCTTATGTTGAGAGTTACAGAGCGTTACATCGACAGAGCCTAGAGTACTTAGGTCTCAGCAGTCCGTGAGAGGACAGAAAGCAGGAGACCGTCCAGACGAGACCGCATAAGTCAACAAAAAGCAGCTAGGCCGCCAAATTAAGGTAAGGATAACAGTATTAAACCTCATAAGAAAAGAAGCAGTATGTGACGAAAGTGCCTATATAAAAAAGCAGTTATCAGACCGAGCGAAGGTCACAGTTTGAGAAGAACAAATGTTTAAGACGGCAGCGTCTGGACTTTTAACCCCTTAGATATTGAGAAGTGGCTGTGGAAGGGAAAAGGTGGAAAAGCCAAAGGTATTCCCAAGGCGATGTGAACAGATCATTGGGTCGGCTGATGCCTGGTCATTAGGGTCGCAGTAGTCGGAAGGAAGGAGATCATTAAGGAGAGGTTAGAAATGCGGCTTGTGGAGAGGAGGCTATACTATTTAGGTTTAATTACTAACAGAGTGTCGGCAGAAAATACCTGCTACGGAAGAACACATATTACTAAGGGTGAATCGTGACCAGCAACCACTTGAGGTGAGATGTACAGAGCGCTACGTTGGCAGAGCCCAGAACATTTAGATCACAAAGTTCGATAGAGGTCAGCAAACAGGAGAGAATTCAAATGAGGACAGACAAGTCAGCAAGATGAAGCTAGGCAGTTAACTTAAAGTGGAAATAATAGTAATGAGTGTCATAAGAAAAGAAGCATTTCGCAAAGACAGCGGCTAAATGAAACGCCAGTTAGCATGCTGACGATAAATGTCTCGGGATGAGGGGAACAGTGTTTAACATTCGAGCTTAAATAGATACAGTCTCGCATGTTTGGGAGCAGTCAGAAACAAGAGACAGGTCAGCCAACGCTAGATTAAAGCCAAGCCCGTAGTGTTCTCGGTCCAATTGAAAAAGGAGTGCAAGCGGAGATCGCGCAAAGGAAAGAATGAGGTCGGGTAAGCAATCGCCTAATTGCGGTGAAGTGGAAAGGCCAACGATAGTTCACAGGTAATGTGAACAGATCATTTAATCTGTTGATCATTGACCATTAGGGTCACAGTTGTCGAAAGGAAGGAGATCGTCGGGACGAGGTTTGAAATTGTCTTTATGGAG